GCGAGCAATGGCGGGCATGGCTACAGTCTGTGGGCGGGCACGTCGGCGGTGATCCGCGGGTGCACATTCCTTGAGGAGTTTGCTTGGATTGGGCCTTTATCTGCACTTTGGGCCAGGGCGGACCCAATCCAGAACATGAAGGTATCCAAAAGGCCTTCATTTTTTGCTCAGAGTGCGTGTGACGCGCCGAAAATCCTGAATGCTGAATATTATTTCATCTGGGTCGAAACTTCGAAAATTCATAACTTGGTCAATTTTTATCGGATTGGGCCCATATTTTTACACAAGATCACTGACTCAGAGATCTACAACTTTTCTTCCAAAGTCAATACCGGGTTACGCTCCGATCAATACCAATTTTTTATTGAAGAACGTGTCAGAGTCGACACTGGAGTCCAAAATAAGTTTGTATGAGCTAAAACTTCAAAAATTCATAGCTAATTCATTGTTTATCTGATTGAGCCGATTTTTAGACAGGAGTTAGTTCTCGATGTCGGATACATTTTTGTTTTCACATTTCAACTTCAAAAATTGCACTTAAGCCCCTGCGATTTAGCCTGGAACATGACGGACTCAAGTGAATAAAAATATGCACTATTGCTTGTAGTTATTGGAGGCCCAATTGCACATTCAAAGCCCATTTTTTTCTCTAATTTCCATTATATAATCTCATTCTTTTCACACAAACAAGAGGAGAAAAAAAAACCTTTGCCACAACCCTGTCAAAATATCAAATTCTTTTAAGAATCCTAAAACCTTGAAGCCCTTATTACAAACCCCCATCTCACTACAAACAAGTCATCCTTATTACAAACTCACATCTCACTACTTCTCCAGTAAGAGTAAGGCTGGTTTGATCTCCATGATCAAAAGTGTATAAGCATTTGCTTTATTTGTATTTCATGATATAGTAATTTATTTAATGTGTTCATGAGATTCAACACTGCAGATTTAGACAGGATTCCATGCAGGATTATTACAAAACGCTGATGGCAAAACAGAACAACCAATGCATGGCTCATGGCAAGGCAGACATCCTGAGGAGGCTAAGGGCGTGAGTTCGACAATCATCCCTATTGATTTTGGTTTTCTTCCTTTCTATTTATCCTTTTCATAATACATTCGAATAATTAGTTTTAGGTTTTTTAATTAATTTTTGGGTCAACACCCACCCGTGGTAATATGTATAATTTTGCTTATTTTTAACCGTGTGTGCCTCATTTCTTTCTCTTTAATATTTTCCTTAAAAACCCTAAATTCATATAAAGTCTAATTTTATTTAAATCAAAAACCCTATTAAATGGCAAACTTAACCTTTTTTACAAACCCTAATTAATTTAGGTTTTAATTTATTATTATTATTATTAATTATTTTTTATTATTAACTCTTTAATTTAATTAATTAACTTTTTTTTCCTGCAAATTAGGAAAAAAATAGGTTTTAAGTTTTCTTTGTAATTAACCCTTTAATTAAACTTTTTTTAACAAATTAGGATTAGGTTTTTGTTTTAGTTAGTAACTGAATTTTTGGTTTTTTTTTTTCATTTATTAATAAATTAAGTTAATTAACCCTTTTTTATTAAAATTAGTTAGAATTAGGTTTTTTAATTAACTTAAAATTATTTTCTATAAAAAACACCAAAAACATTAACTTAGAATTTTAGGTTTTAATTTTTCCTTAATTTCTTTTTATTTATTTTTTTACATTTTAATTTTTAAGAAAATTGTATAGGTCGCATTATCAATGTAATAGCGTAGATTTATCTTTTCTCGTATTTTTTTTAATTATGTAATTGCTTCCGGGATGTAATAGTTTTAAGATTTCTTTTCTGCACTCTTCATTATTATGTAACTGCCCAAAAGCTCTATAATAGCCTAGGTTTACACTTCCGCCTTTACCTTCTGCTATTATATTTTATGTAATCCTTAGACTAATAGGATTGTATAGAAATACCGATAAACTAATTGAACATAGCATAACTTAATTCAAAGATAATACATCTGAAAACAAACACTGCTGCACACTTGCACCCCTATGGAACTCCCCACTTGGTTGCCTCAGAAAACAATGGTCATGTCCCTCGAACGTAGGGATATCTTAGCAAAAGACCCTCAATCTAAAAATTATCATAAAGATCATAGTCCCTTAATGTCCCTCGAGTTGCCTACGAGAAATGATCTTGTCCCTCAATGTTGCCTACGAATATATGATGACAGTCCCTTCGAAATGCTAAGATATCCTTACATGTTGCCTTTAATGACTATTTCGTCTCTTTCGATAGTCCCTCAACATCCAACGACTAGGGTTACCTACTCACTAATAGTAGGATAACACGGTCTAAAGGATAGGAGGAAAAAAACGCCTTTTTTTCGAGTAGGTAGATAACTGTTAGGTATTTGCTCAAAACAACGAATCTTTTACACCATACACTTTCAAACAAACTTTTCAAACTAAAGTTTTCAAAACACTTCGTAACACTCTTGAGGACAGAAACAAGGGTTAAAACGAAGTAAAATAAAACTTTTCAAAACAAGCACACACAAGTAATTTTCAAAATGAGCAAGTACCTAAGAGCCCATGGAAAACCATGGATAGAAAGAGTGTTAACACCTTCCCTTTCTATAATCTACCTCCGTACTCAGAAACATCTCGAAAAAGGTTTTTTCTGTTCTTTTTCCTTTTTCTGATTGGATAAAATAAAAGTCGGTGACGACTCTTGCTTACCGCGACATTTGCGAACAAAAAACACAAACCAGTATTAATAGTCGATTTTGCCACCGTATCACAGAAGATATGTTGAAATATTAGATATAATCCAAATTGTGTAATCCAAGTCCAAATACAATTAATATTTGTTAGTCTATTTAGTGTACAAGTTAGTTATATATAAATAGATTAATTTATATAATTATTTATAACAATTCAAATGAATAATATAATTCTTATTATTTTTATTATTATTTTTTTCTCTCATTAAAAATTCTTCACGCAACAGACTTTATTGAGGAGGAAGTTAAAAGAATTTTTAGATATCATAATCCAAAATCTAAAAAACAAAGCCTTACAAAATTAATACAAAACCAACATAACATTGTTAGTTAGAAGCAATAAGCAACTTCCCAACACAACCTCAAAATACTGAGCCCTCCACCTTCATTACATTCCAAAACCTTAATTTTTTCCGGTTATTCAAATAGAGTATGATTTTTAAGAATAATAATTCAAACAAAATTTCTAACTAGATTTTTTATAAAACATTATTATAAATTTATACTGAATTGCCTGTTAAACATTATAAAAATATAAAAAATGAATAAAATATTACTCATTCAAATATCCAAATTCTGAAAAATTCTAATAAAACCAAAAAATTCTTCCCCTTTTATTCCATTGGTTAAAGCATGTTGATAACTAAAAAAAATACATTTTTTAGACTCGAAATGAGACAAATTAATATTTATGAGTAATATTCTTTAATAGGTACTACATGGTAACTTATTATTCAAACTAAATATTAATAATATAATATCTTATCATGCAACTAAATATTAATAACAGTACTTCACCTTATTTAATTTACATTTATAACTTAGATATCATACACTTTATGATATTAAAAAAATAAAAGAAGCCAGGTTATCATTCTTTAAAAACTTAAAACAGAAATTTTATATTAAATATAATTTTAAAATTTTCAAAAATGAAACACACAGCTATAACACACTATTTCTATATTATTAAATTTCTTAACATGTAAGTAAAGAGAGAGCTAAAAAATAAGTAAACATTTTCCTTTTATTTGATTCTCTTTGTTGATAAATTTTACAATATAAAAAAAAGAGTGAAGTTTTGGTTGAATGCCTCTCACCCATGCTTTCATCACTGGTCAACAAACATCACACCCATACAACAAACTTTCCGTATAATTCAGTTAAAGAGAATCGCATATATAACAAATTAAGAAAATATAAAAAAATAAACGAAAGTTCAAAGAAGGTGAGGGTTCGTTTGAGAGGCACAGGTAAAGAAAAGAAAAGTCATAATAAAAAGGATAATTAAGAAATTTGATATTTTCAACAGACAGGTTTAATAAATAAAAATAAAATAAATTTTTTTTTTGTATGCATTTGAGAGAAGAGGGTGTTCTTTGTTGATACGTTTCATTCATTCTGAGGAGAGAGTATCCGAAAGTAACAGAATTATAGTACCTTCTCTCTCGCGTTCTCACACACACCGCACACTCTTTGCAAAACACAAATCAAAAACAAAACCCTAACTCCTCTCTCTCACTCTCTTTCTCTCTTCTATATCTCATTCTCACAAACGCATTCATCACTCTCATACGTTTCTGACGGTTATTCAAACCGTTGCGTTTCAATCAATCACTAGGGTTATTTTCTTCCCCCTTTTTGTTTTTATCTCTTTTTTTTCTTTATTTCATCGTTCGGTTTTCAATTCTAGGTTTTCGAATAGTTTTCATTGCACGTGCGCATATTTCTAGGGTTTCTGTTTTCGAGACGCATTTTTCGCCCTATATAGGGCTATATCGATTCTTCATGGGCTTTTCAATCGTGCTTAATTCTTGGTTTATCGCTTGTTGATAGTCGCGTCATTGTTTTCTTGTTTTTGTGTGGGGATCGATTATCTCTCGAGAGAGTTTTCGAGGTTTCTTTGATTTGAATCCGTCTTTCTAATTCAAGATGGAGGCTTAGAGAAGGTTTTCAATTACAACATTGTTTTTTGATTCAGGATTGTGGTTTGTTTAAGGGGGAAATTTCATTTTGGTGGCATTGTTGGGGCCGGCTGATTAATCTTTTAGGCTTTGGAATAGTTTTCTCATTAGGTATTTAGGTTACAGGAAAATGAGGTGGTGAAAATTGGAGTGAGTTGTTTTGTTCGGTTTAGAATTCAGCCTATACAGTGCTGTTCTAAGAGTGGCGTTTGTGAAGCGTTGGTTCTGCTTTTTGTGTGTTGGTTCTGATCATGTTCAGTGTTCGTTATGGAAAAAAGTGAACCCGCGTTAGTTCCACAATGGTTGAGAAGTAATGGAAGTGTTACCAGTTCTGCCCATCATTTTGCATCTTCATCTAATCACACTGGTAATTTCGATTCCTGATTGTTTTTGATGTTTTATATATTCATCAGTTCAGAATATTATGCATTTTTCTCATAGTAGAATTAGAATCTTATAATTATTACTTTTTTTGTGTGTTTGTTTTCTTATATGTCTTAAGAAATGTAGGATTTTGGATTTTTTTTTTAAAGTTTATATAACTAAGTTATCTCCATGAGAAAGAGGAAACGATAATAATTAATAGGTTTAACATTGTTGTGTAGATACTCATACTGTAGCTCATCACTCAAGGAATAGGAATTCTAAGACAACTAGTGATTTTGATAGTCCTCGTTCTGTGTTTCTTGAACGGACGTTCTCGTCAAATTCTCGGAGGGGCACTATCAATGGCTCTGCAAAGAATGCCTATAGTAGTTTCAACAGAAATCATCGTGATAAGGACCGCGATAGAGATAGAGATAAAGATAGATCCAACTTTTTAGACCACTGGGATCGTAAGTGTTCTGAACCATTGGCTGACCTCTTCTCGGTAAGGACAGAGAGGGATCCTCTGCGGCGTTCTCATTCATTGGTCTCCAGGAAACAGAACGAGCTTGCTAACCACAGAGGGACTGTAAATACTAAATCTGGTGGCAACTGCAACCAGAGCAATGGCAATGATGCACTTTCTGGGGGTAGTATTAGTAGCAGTTTTCACAAAGCTGTTTTCGATAAAGATTTTCCATCACTTGGTGGAGATGAAAGGCCTGGGTCAGCTGAAATAGGCAGAGTCGCATCTCCTGGTTTGGGTGGTACTGCTAGTCAATCTCTACCTGTTGGCAGTTCATCTATGATTGGAGGAGAGGGATGGACTTCTGCACTAGTAGAAGCACCTTCTATGATGGGAAGTAGTAGTACTGGATCTCTAACAGCACAACAAACTGGTGCTCCAATCTCTGGGTCTTTACTTTCAAGTACATCAGCAGGTCTTAACATGGCCGAAGCTTTAGTGCAGACTCCATATCGAGCTCAGTCAACTCCCCAGGTACTCAAGCTAGCTGTCTGTCACTTTCTATATCATTCTTTTAAATGTAATGATTCTATTTATTTTCACCACGAGCTTATAATTTGTGTATCAATTGTAGGTTTCGGTCAAAGCCCAGAGGCTTGAAGAACTTGCTCTTAAACAGTCAAGACAGTTGATTCCAGTGACACCACCAATGCCCAAGGCTCTGGTGAGTAAATTGCCTTTTGAAATTTATTTTATTGGTTTGAATTACAAAAATTAGTCTGTTTTAGGTTTTACCAGGGCACATGATTTCCTAATGTGATTTTGCACTGGCGTTTGATCTTGTTATGGGGTGTTATTTAATGGCAAACAACTGTTTTGAAATTAAAAACTTGGACAAGTACCAGATATTTTAAAATTAACCCTTAACTGGGGTGGGTTTCTAGAGAGGACATTAGACTTAGAGTGAGCAAAATGTCAAAGAAACTATTAACATGAAGTTTGGTTAGGGTTTATTCTTACTGTATAATGCTTGTGGGAGATTCTTATAATGTATCAACATGTTGATTCAAAAATTTATCTCTTTTTTTTATTTATTGCTTCTTCTTGCTTAAATTCAGAAGTTGTTTACTAATTATTATCCTCTCTTAGCTGCCCCTCTTTTAATGGCACATATTTGCAATTTCACACTACCCTTTCTTTATTGTTTCATTAAACTGTTACATTTCTATCCTAAGAGGAATTTGAAGTAGCAATTTCAGTTTGTAAGCTTGAACAGTTTGATTGTTAGTAGCTCTAGTAACAACTCATCAACTAAGTAAATTATTTCAACATATTTTTACAGGTTTTTCTTAGATGTGGTTTTGTTGCCTGAATTTGAATCATGATGCATAACACTCACATAGCCATTTGGTTTATTGTTTTGCAATTCTTGGATGCAAAATGTGTACTAATCAGTGTTTATGAATGCACAGTTAATTATACAACAAATGCTTCTTATACATGATTTCACCTTTTTTATACATTCACATCATAGTAGCATTTGACTGACAAAATCAAGCCAAATAGACCATTGTATTGTATCTTCTTTTTTGTTCCATTTTTTTAGTTGAGCCAAAGTTTACCATTTTTGCATTTCCGTGTCTTTTTTTGTTCTATGTTTGATATATAGGTATATAGCAAACAGAAAACTGCACTTTTATACTTTGTTTTGTTGTTTCTATCATGTCTACCAAACACTGTAATCAGTTGACACTGAGTTTTGCATGCTCACTCTGGTTTCTGTGTCACTGTTGGGGCAACCATGATGGTTTGTGGGTATCTGTCCTTTATTAACACTGGATTATGTAATTGAAATCTTTCTCATATTTTCTTTGTATGTCATAGTTACTGGAAGTTGTGTTACATGTTTGTTTTGTCTTCTATGTGATAACTAATTGGTATTTTCTTGAGTCCTTGGTGATTTTGTGATATTTTTCTCAGGTTAATAACTCTGAAAAATCAAAACCGAAGACAGCACTCAGAAATCCTGAGATGAATATGGTTGCCAAGAGTGTGCCACAGCAACCCTCTGCATTGCATATTGTTAATCATTCTGTCCGCAATGGAAATGCCAAAGGTGATCCTCCAAAGACATCTGGGAAGTTTACTGATCTTAAGTCTGTGGTGTGGGAAAATGGTGTTTCTGCAACGGCAAAGGAAGCTTCGACTCCAACAAATTATTCTAACAGCAAACCTGGAAATAATCTGGCTGTTGCTTCAGCTGTTGCTTCTGCACCTTTGAGGAATCCCACAGAGCGGAGGCCAACTTCTTTGGACCTGAAAGTAGGTTCCACTACGGATAAGAAACAGGTTACTTCTCAAGTGCAGAGCAGACACGATTTCTTCAATCTCATTAAGAGGAAAACTCTGAACTCATCAGTTCTTCCTGATTCTAGCCCTGCTGTTTCACCTGCCACAGCTGACAAATTTGGTGAAGTGAATATGGAAGCAGTTGAACCCCCTGCAATCCTTCAAAATCTTGGTAATAGTACTGAAGTGACTAGCAATGGTAATGCCCATGCGGAGGAGGTTCAGAGGCTTCCTGACATCAGATGGAAAGATTCAACTTCTGATGAGGAAGAAGTTGCATTTCTTCGTTCTCTTGGTTGGGAGGAGGATGATTCTGGTGTGGATGAAGGCCTCACAGAGGAGGAGATCAATGCATTCTATCAGGAGGTGAGCATCTACTACTTTGATCTAGTTTTTTTATTATTTATTTTTAATAGTAATGGGTATGTATACAGTCCATATGTTAATTGTGATGTAGAAACAATAAAAACAGCGCACATTTAACTGATTTGTAATTTATAATACCATGTTTGATATCCATTTTGTCAATCAAGGCTTTGATTGATTTTCTATGGGTAAATTTAATGATATGCTGTTAGATCATGTTGATAAAAAGTATATCTTATTCTTTGTTGATTTTTTTGTTTTGTAGTGCTTGAAGTTGGGCACCACCACATTAAAGCTATGCCCAGGCATGCAGCCAAAGTTGTCCAAATTTTTTGAATCTTATGCCACTAACATGAATGGAGCTTCTGCTGGATCGAGTTCTTCTGACTCTGGATCTGAAGTTTGATGTTGGGTTGTATCATGAAAAGATCCAAGTTGCATTCTTTTATGCAGATGGCTAGTAACATTCTTCTCTTTTGTTTTTATAGAAGGCTGGTGATTTGAGAGGGAAAAAAGAGGGTGGGTTTTGTTTGGAACCATGCATTTGCAAATATTGCAATAAGTTACAGGTGCCTCAAGCCTGCCTGCTTTACAGGGGATTTTTTGTGTTCTGAGGCAGGGTAAAAGTAATAGGTTGGTTGGGTAGGGGTAGTAGCCTAGGGGTTATTTTGTCTGCAGGAAGGTGCTGGGCAATTGCATCTTTTGGGGGGTATTTTCATACGTTTTTCTTTCAAGAGGGTTTGATTTTAAATGATAAATTTTATGACGTTTTTGGTAAATTTACAAAAAAAAAAAAAGTAAAAGTTTACGCCTAACTTTAGTGCTTGTTGATACGTTTTTGTCCTGTCAACGGTTAAAGTTTTTTAATTGCACTTACCACAGTTGTATAATATTCTCTAATAAAAACGTGAAACACAGACACATAATATACATAATCTGTTTTGTGACTTCCTTTTTTTACATCATTTAAAAGCTTTTTTTATGTTGTTTTTTTAGTCCCCAAAAGGCAAATAGACATATCATGGTGTAAGGATGACATTAGTTCCAATACATGCCAAAATATCTCTTGTTTTGTGCTCACAATTGCAATGAAGAAAATTTTGGCTAAGCGATCTGTTTTCTTCTCTAGAGAAGAAATGCTTCTTAATCATGCCTCTTTTTGGTAAAGAAATGAACAGTGCACTATTTACAGCTTTACACACTATAGGCTCCATCCTTGTACTGGAGTATTTAGCAATAATTCTGTGTGCAATTTATTAGTCGGTTGGTAGTCTATGGAGTATCTATTGTCTATGTTCATTAGGGGGGGCCTCAATATGCAAGTCTACTATACTCAGATGTAAGAAATAAGAATCGGATGCGAAAGGGAAAAGGGAATATATAAACATACAACACATTTTGAAAATTCATATATAAACATACAACACATTTTGAAAATTCAAAACTGTCTTTCGTGTTTGGAGACATCCAAATCATAAACAAAATGCGCTATTATAAGATCTATCACATTTTTAAACAAAATGATGTATAAAGATGTATTTCCATATAGTATTTGGGGTATTCAGAGATGAATATATGAAATGTTTCAAGCAAGTTTTTGAATGCGTGATAAATATAAAAGAGAAATTATTTTGGAGATATATCTCCAAAATTCTCTCTGAATCAAATCAGAGTAACACTATTATCTCAATATTTAATTTTTTTAGACTTTTTAAATATTTAATTTTTGTGAGACCAACTTATATTAAATTATATTATCGTAAAATCAAAGTAATATTCACTTATATTAAAGTTAAAGGAGGATAAAAATTTATACATAAATAAAAGACAAGATAATTTATACATAACATTTGTCTGAAAATATATTAAAAAATATTAAAAAAATAATACATTTTAATATAAATTATTGGGTATGTCTAACCGTCTGCCTCCTCCACCACCTACACAACACAATATTCAGTAATGACAACCATAGTCTCAACGAGAGCCAATTGGGGAGAATCATCCTCAAAGAGTCCAGTCTCTATGGCTTCTCTATCCATCTCCGTAATACGATCATATAGCGTTGTCATGCTTTTGCCTGTTCATCCTGAACCTCAAGTACCTCCTGGTTAGCTGGCCTAGGTGTTCTCTAGGAGCATATAGTGTCATAAGGTGTGACATCCTATAGAACCATGACAAGTAGCCCTATGCACAAGCTCAATGTACATGAGATGGCTCCCGAAGATACTCCTCTAGTATCGAGTGACTCTCGAAATTATCTAGTAATGCTTGTAGGTCTAATAATAAGAGGAACAGACTCATGGGGAGGTCTTAGAATAATCTACAAGTAGTTAAACTGATGCATCACTCGCTCAAGCAGATAAGGATACATAAGAGATGACTTATACCTGAGCTATACAGAGTAAATGGAAATGACGTCAAATTAACGTGTTTGACGGTGACCCTTGTATGGGTAGAAGCAAATGTCATTTGGTACCATACAGTCAAGAGAGACTCTGAATGACTCGATCACATCATTCCTCCTATATGAAACAAAAGCGGGAGATGATCCCTTGAAAATGTTTCAGATACAATATTAGTAACAAGTGTAACAAATGAATTATGATAATATTAGTAACAAGAAATTACAGTAAGCTGCGTCCAACACCTCATCAACTGCTTCGTATTCCAAAGACAACCCTACTCAGCTTCGGCTACAGATAGACCAAACAGACGGCTCCCAGATGATCATCTCGCCTATATGTAGGTGGAAATATGATGTCTCCGAGTGCCACTTCTCTGTAAAATTTGCTTGCATGCCATGGTTTATGGTCATATATGTAGACGAACGTGAACCGACAAGATCGAAATATCAGATAATATCACCGAACCAACGATCAGTGGGTTGTGGCAACACTAGTATCTTCTTGCCGTGGTTAATCATTTTCAAACAATCATGCTACTGAAAAAAGAAAACACAATCAATATGGATTTAATTAGTTGACAACATATGTATTATAAAAGAAAAGAAATATACCTCTTCATTTCATACATGCCTAGCAGCATGCTCTACATAATTATAAAGTAAGGATGTGACATATGGCCCTCTAGGATAAATCTCTAATGGGGCATCCTAATCGGCTTCCTCTAGGGTTTCAGGGGGCTTCAACGTCAACAGGGGTCTCAGAATCCTCAGATTCGACTACATCATATGCATGAGAAGCCTGAGAGAGTCGACCCAGAGAACTAGACTATCTGGGTTGCAAAGTAGATGCAACATCAAACGAGTTATTAGTAACTCGTCGCCTCGTAGTCCTCATTGCGGCCCTCTCAAGTTGTACACACACAATTTAGGACACACACCTAGTCTTAATCCGACCAACATTGTTGTCAGCCATTGCACATGTGTTATAAACAAATACAAATATAAACATCATGTCCGAAGAAATTTAAAAATCCCACAAAACACCTATTTGTTTTCCTGAGTACTATTCAGAGATGCATCTCCAAAAACAGTTCAGAGCAAATCCAAAGATGCATCTCCGGATAAACCTTCAACGGTCTCCCATAACAACACATTTTCTACCCTAATAGTTGCAAAAAACACTCATTGCATGTTATTATAACGTACCTAATTCGTTTACGCTACTACATAAAGTGCCTAAAACAACTAATGTATCCTAAAAAACTAACTACAAATCAAAACATAAAAAGAAAAGAAAATTTGAAAAACTTACCAAAATAGGATTAATTGATGAGAAAGAGATGTTTCGATGTTATGAGATAATGGATAGGAGGAGAAAGAGCTTAAGTGATGTTTGAATGCAATGAAGATATGCTTCACTAGTTGGGAAAAAGAGAGCTCAAATGTGTTTCTTTGGACATTATGGAGATGCATTTCCAGATTATTTTGAACGTCAAAGAGGCATGTCTTCAGTTTGGTATGAGAAATGGTGAAAATAGGTGCGTTCGGAGATGCATCTACGAATGCTAGGGATATTATGGACTTTTCACGGTGGTGCGGGAGCACCCATAAGAGTGGAAAGAGAATTTCCGAAAAGAAAAGCCTAGTTCATTGGACAATATCCCCAAAATGTAAACATCGTGATTATCTTTGTTTCTCTCGGTCTATATTTTTTATCGAGATGGTTCATGTTACACCCAGAATAAAATGTGTTTATAATCATAATATTCGAAATGTTAGAACATGGTATTAGTACATCATATAACATCTAGATGTCATCCATACATGAATGGAACAAGGTCTATAACATAGTACATACATAATGATAATTATAATACAAAATACTAAACGCAAAAGTACACAACCAAAAACTCTAAATAGATAATACAATCTTCAACTTCTTTAGAGCATCTTCCATTTTCCTTTACCCGCTCATATGAAATATTGAACAAGAAGTGAGATACATCTATCTCAGTGAAGTCCTAACTAAAACATAAGTCCGCTCGACAAATGGGAAAATGGGTTATTCAGAACTATCACAACACTACAAGTCCTAACCCTTATGGAATCAATGATTTGAACTAGTCTCTTCGGTTATGGACTACATTTACGGGCTAGGCATACCGCTAGCCATTCTTTCGCACATATATTCACATTGTCTCTTTCAAGACTTATCTCATCGTGACTCTCCAATTAGGAGTACGAATATACGCATATACGAGCATCTATATATGCTCGAGTTTACCATACTAGATAATCCTAGTAAAATTCTAGGATTTCTCACCTGAACCAATTATTTTCATTATACAAGTACACTTACATCGAAGATTCTTTATTGGATTTGTAAGTGTTTAGTTATTGGTATGTATTTTTGGTAAAACCAGGTGTGTGAATGTCATGACTGATGTCATAACATTCTGGATTATTAGGTACTTTATGCAGAAAAAGAATGGCATACAGAAGCTGCTATTTATGAGTGTGTATCTGAGCATTTTGCAATGATCACAATTATTACCTTCTACCAAAATCAGTAAACAGGATTTCTATTGTCATAACAGATGTTAAGACATCCTGTACTGATCTAACAGTTATGCAGTTTGGTTAATTCTGAGATTTTTCAGGAATTTGGTTCATACATTCCAGAACAGAATCTCACGTGGACTTTAGGTTAACTGAGCTCAACCCTAGTCTGGTTGATAAAGTCTTGTGACCAAGTCTTGAGGTTAACCCTAATTAACCCTAGCTTTTCGTGGAAGCCCTAACTGAAGAAACAACTGCATATATATTCAACAGGAAAGCTGATTGGAAATTAACTCTTAGACAGAAGAACACCTTGGGGCTGTATAGTTTTAACTAATGTAATCCAAGCAAGTATCATTGTGATAAGTGACTTGGAATAGGTTTTGATTGTAAGGGTTGTGTATCACTCAAAGCTTTGAAGCAAGAGTGTTTGTGTTTCT